GTGGGGGCGAGATGGTGGGGGCGAGATGGAATAGTGGGGGCGAGATGGTGGGGCGAGATGGCAAAGTAGGAGCGAGATGGTGGGGACGAGATGGCAATGGGGCGAGATGACCGGTATTCAGATGGTTACGGTTTGGTCACGTTAAATACAAAATGCCAATATGATGAGAGAGGCCCCATAAGGCCTTTTGTCACAAAAAAGGTAATTTGATTTTACGACATATTTTACTTAATTCATACATAATTCTATGGTTGAATATCACATGGTTGTTATCACATGAAGTTTTATCTTATTGTTTCAAAAATCTTTACTTTGCAAATCCATGCACCTTATATACAATGTAAATGTCTTTGTCAATTTTTACATGTACACATGAAAAACAAAAACAAACAAACAAACAAACAAAAACAGAGACAGAGATATTTTAAACATATTTWAACATATTTTAAAGACAGTGACAGCCTATAGCTATGAGATTTTTTTTTTACGAATTCAAACTAAGTTTTCTTACCTTGAGTTTATTATTTACAGATAAACCACAAGCCTTGACTTTCACCGTTACACTATGGTCATCTTCCTCTGGACACTGGAACTGTAAAATAAACATAACCCAAAAGGCATTTGACGTTACTAGCTTCTCTTAATATTTTGCTTTCATTGCTTCCATTCATACATTAATTAAAGTACGTTCAGAATTTCAAACACTTGCTAGGAATATTTTGTTCAACATCAAAGTTAGAACTTGAGCATAAAAAAATATTTTGTCTGTGAGCTGACTACAATATCCACACTGACTGARACATTCCCATCAGATTAAAAAATAATAATTGCATATATTATCTAATCAAAGCTCAAGTCTCCATTTTCAAAACATACAMCAATTGTTGCTCATATCATCAACATTTATAAACAAATTGCAATGAGTCTGGAACATGAAAGTGGGTCATTAAATGCACACAGAAAGAAATCATAAATATTGACTGGGATGGGACTGAAATACTAAGAACAGAACCTAGATGGCATCAAAGGAGGTGGCTGGAAGRCCTACTGARAGCCAATACCAACTCAGTGCTATCAAACAGAGACACTGGCAGAACAATACCAGAAACATACAAACCATTATTTAAGTTCATTTAAGTTTTTTGTTACATATATATCTTATTGCTTCACTGTCATAGTCTGTCATTTCTTTTCTTTTCACTCCATTTCATTTCATTCCAATTCATTTTACATTTTATCTTTGTAATTAGCTCGTGCTGTATTGCTGTGTTTCTTCGCGCGCTTTCCATTTTTTGTGTTGTTTAAAATCTTACGTGTACTCTACCTTGATAATGGCCGCTTAGGCCGAAAGCTCAGTAAAAATATCACTAGTAAACGCAGAGGATTCATTTATTTTTAGTAATTATGCCTGCGTACAAAGAAATTCTAAACATTCTAATCATAAATATGTTATTATGAATGCTAAATCTAATGATGATCTTGAATGTGGTAAACTTTTTGGTGTGGTTTTTGTTGCTATAGTCTGAAGTCATTTTGCATTCTATTCAAAAGTCTAGTGTCATTAAAAGAAATAATGAAACAAATCCTACATTTTGATAATTTTCACTTAATATAATTATAAAGTGTATTTGATTTGTAATCCTTTCTATTTTGGTGCAAAAGAATCAAAAACTATGTGTAAAACAAGCTGTGCACTAGGACTGTTCATGTACAATGAATGCCTGTCACAAGTGGATAGCTTAACCCATATAAGGGCTTACAAAAAATGTTGTTCACTGTAAAAAAGTGATTACTGATCACAAAGGGTAAGAAGTACTAGAATTAAGGGTCTTCCCCTAAATTGCCTTCCAATGGGGTAGGTGGCCTTTTTCTATGCTTAAATTAAGGTGAGAAAGTTTTGATATCAAAGAAGGGCCCCTTAAAGGGACACTGTCAATGGCACGCATGCACGAGTAAACTTGAAAAGATTAGGCTAATGTTTTCAATTTTAAGACTCCAAGTTGGCGCGACGCATGACTAAAAAGTACTCATAAATGTAAACAGATCTACAATATTCCAAAGTGTGTCAAAACATTGATCTACACCTACTTGCGAAAACGTTGTCATAGAAAATAGGACATATCTATTTAGTAAAAAAGGAATAAATTAAAAACGACAAAAGAAGATCACTGAGGCTGAACGCTTTCTTTTGTCTTGTTTTAATATATTCCTTTTTACTAAATTCAAATGTTCTATTTTCTATGACAACGTTTCTGCAAGTAGGTGTACCTCGAAGTTAATACTTTCAAAGTCCGTTAGAGGCAAGACTGTTACTGCGCATGTCATCCATTGACAGTGTCCCTTTAAGCCTGTGTCACACACTACGATTTCTCGTGCAACTTGTCCCACCAAAAATTGCTGGTTGCACGAGGCTATGTCAAACGCACACTGTCGGTTGCAATTTGCCCAGCGAGTTGCCCAGAGTAATACGAGTTGCCCAGCGAGTTGCAAGTTGCACAAGTAATTTTTTTCTGCGCTAATACTTGCTGCAGCACAATAATAACCTTTATTGCTGTCCGACAGAAATTTTGGTTTCCAAGTGATTCCAAGCACCTTTGATGTTTACAAATTCTCACTTTCTGATTGGTTCCCGTGCTCTAATTGTGTGAAGTGACAAGTTTCATGACCAATTGTCACATGTAAATTTTAACGATCAAATTATTGCATAAATTAGAAGTTGGTTCGACTTTGGAGCAGCAAAAAATGAAACTTTTTAGTTGCAAGAGTGGGTTGTCAAACGTAAAAACCGCTAGTGCAACCTGCAAATATTTTTTTGGCATTAGACAAGTTGCATGAGAAATTGAACATTGCGTGTGAGTCAGGCTTAGGGGTGTGATCCATTAGACTCTGATTGGTGCTAGAAAATTTTTTGGGACCTTAGTTGTGCGCTTGCAATTTTTTTTMGGGAAATTTACAAAAGCTTTAGTGGAGATTTCTCAACATTTTGCTTTGCAGGAATTTTTTTTCGGTCCTTTGGGCCGTGCAGAATTTTTTTTTTTTTCAAAATCTAATCCTAACCCTAACCCTCCCCCCTCCTTCCTCCCCCCTCCTCCCGCCTTGAGAATCTACATGCAGTTTAAGCCATAATCACTCAAAGGTGAAATGCTGTAGATAGTAATAAACAGACCAGCTTTTTMGGGGAAGTTAACATATTTTGAAACTAGTTCCTGCCCGTCATTGAGGTTTCAAACAGCACAATGTTGGTATGAAAATAATGCAACAAAAGAAACTGACCATACTAGACCTGCTGAGAAAGCTTACCATTTCATTTATWTGAAAGTCTGCACCAGAGGTGCCATCCTTCTCTTTGAATATCACAGCTCTAGTTTTGATCATCTCAGTTCACGAAACGAAAAGGTGCGAAGCAAATTAGCCTGAGTATAAATTAGCCTGAGTATCAGGCTCTCTCGAAGGAGAAGCAAATGCAAATGTGTTACATTAATCGTTCCATTAAAGTAATCACGATCACGTGATCAAATTGCGATCGCAAGAGCTGACGGGAAATTCGGGCAAGTGGAGCATWCTGGCAAGTGGTTGCTAGTAACATTTATCTGGAMAAACTAACATGTGGTTGAACTTTTATAKTTAGTAGCAGAGCAACGTTTTATACATGTACACAAGCAAAGGTAAAACATGATTTTTTTCACTGCAGTAATGTTTAGATTAGCTAAAACTGTTTCTGAATTTCGTCCTCGAGTGACATTCAAATTTTCGAGCTTTTGTGTAAGCTTAAAACTTAAGCTTAAAGTTAACTTAAGTTCCTGAGCTGCAACGACCAACAGTGAGCTACAATTAGATACAATGAATTACTATGGCATGCAACGAGAGCTACAATGAGTAAAGAAGCACAACAGAATGTTTTTTTTGCCTTTTTTTTCAATTGAGTTTCAATCTATTTCGGCCATGCATGCTACACCGTTACGCGAGAGTGAAAAACCATCGAGTTGGACTTCGACTTCGCTAAACGTCAAAATTTATTTGAAACAAGAACAACTTCGTGGAACATACCGTGCCAGGTTACGCTATAATATATGTTTTTGCCAGCGCCGCTATCGATTTGATAGATTTTACGTCATGATGTTTCCACATCATTTTTTT